TTTTAAAAAAAAACCCAGGCTATTGACCAAAGTGGAGGAGGGAACTGAAACAAGCAGGGCCAATAAATAAACAGCTCCTTTATATTTATAAAAGCCCTTAATCCAATTCCAGGTGGGGGGGGTGGGGGGCAGGAGAAGGGACAAACTATCCCAAGACACCAGTTCCCAAAGTACTGAACCCCAGCCAACAGATAAATATCTTTGCAAATATCTACGCTCCTATTAGCCCCAATACACACAGTCCCATTCTGAAGGGCTTGTATTGTCTGTGAACTGTGTGACTGTCCCAAGTTATTAATATATTTGGGCCCTCAGGAGAATATTTCCATGACCAGTCTGAAGAAGAAAAATTAGCTCCCGTGGCAAACAAGTACAAAGGGCCCATTGCCAAGTTCAGTAGATATTTTATTCTTAGTTGACTCAATAGCTAAATCAGCATGGAGGACAAGCCAGAGAGGAATACTAATCAGAATTAATTAGCCCCTTCCCTCTTCTGCCACAAAATCCTTCATAGAAATCCTTGATTCAGGGCCTACTGAGTTAAAATGTAAACCCAAGGAGCAAACAGAAGTCCGGTCATGTCTAATCCTAGCCCTAGGCTGGCTGAAGAGAGAATGAAGACTCACCACCAAAGCCCTGTGTATGGAAAACCTGGAGAGGGGGAAGGGAGCTGTCAAAAAGAGTCCAGTATTTCAGGAGAACCCGAGTTCAAATCCGGCCTCAGACACACAACACTTACTAGCTGTGTGACCCTGGGCAAGTCACTTAACCCCATTGCCTAGCCAAAAAAAAAAAAAAAAAAAGAGGAATGGATGGACTTTCCCTGCACTCTGTGAAATCTGATTCTTAGAGTATTCATTAAGGAAATGGGCATATTGGTTTTGTTTTTTAAAATGAAATAATTGAAAGTCATAGAGCACTTTAAAATTTTCAAAGTACTTGAAATAAATTTTCTTATTAAGGAACCATTTTGGGGGGCTCAGAAGTGTGATTTCATTAGCTTAAGGGACTCCCAGTAAAGAAAGTCCTTCTAGCAATGAAAATCAGCACCTACTAAATTTAGGATTTCAGGGAGCTGTCTGGGACATTGAGAGGTTAAGTGACTTGTCCAGGGTCACACAGCCCATATGTGTCAGAGATGGGTCTTGAATCTGGTTGTTCCTGACTTTGTGGTCAGGTCTGCTTCTACCAAGTCTCACCTTCCCTTGGAAGCCTTTCTCCATCTTTCCCCCACCTCCCACATTATTAGTGCTCTTCCTCTGAGATTGTTTTCTTTTTACACTGTATATTTCTTATGTTGTTGTTGAGTCATGTCAACTCTTTATGATCCCACTGGGGGTTTTCTTGGCAAAGATACTGGAACAGTTTGACATTTCTTTCTTCAGTTCATTTTACAGTTGAGGAAACTGAGGCAAACAGGGTGACACGAGACAGTTAGGGTCATACAGCTAGGAAGTGTCTGAGGCTGAATGTGAACTCAGGTCTTCCCGACTCCAAGTCTAATCTTGCCAGCCGGGGCAGCTAGGTGGTGTAGTGGACATAACGCCTGGCCCTGAAGTCAGGAAGACCTGAGTTCAAATCCGGCCTCAGACCAAACACTTGACACTTAACTATCTCAGTGACTCTGGGCAAGTCACTTAATCCCAATTGCCTAAAAAATTTTTAAAAAATTAAATTAAAAATAATCTTGCCAGCCAGCACACCCCCAGGTCTTCTGACTCTAAGTCTAACCAAAAATGTCTCAACAAGAGGATTTCACCATCCCCCATTCTGTTCCCAAGAAATTTCATTTTGTGAAATGGCTTAGATAAGTCAGGTCCTCAAAGTGTTAAGGTGGCTCCTGGAGATGAAGTTCTTTAAAAAGTTTTAAGAATTTGTTCCTGATCTTCAACTGAAGTAAAATACCACAGTCCTGAGTTAGACATCCAAGGCTGGGAAAGGGGAACTGGAATGAAGGTTTCAGCAGCATGACTTTCTCTAAGCTTTGGAGCCAGAAGACCTGGATTCCTGACATTACACAAGTCATACATCCTCTCCAGGCCCCAGTTTTCTTCATCTGTAAAATGGGATTAATAATCCCTGTATTATCTGCCATATAAGATTGTGGTGGGAAAAGTATATTATAAATTGAAAAAAGAGCACGGTCCTATAATCCTGCTTCTCTCTACCCTATAATTAGATTTTCTCTTTCAAGCACAATTAAGGCCTTGAAAGCACTGGTGCTGCTTTACAAAGGGGGGGGGTGCTGAGATAGTGGTAGAGGGGGACAGAAAAAAAGGCTTTTTTACATTATTGAGAAATTGGGAGAAATAAAATTGGAGTCTTCCCAAGCCATCATGGTGCAATAGAAAACAATCAGATCAAGTGTCAGGGAGCCTGGGTTCCCTTTCCCTTCTTCCCCCTGCCAGTCACCACCTGTGTCACCTTGGGTAAATCACTTACTTAGCTTCTTTTCATCTCAGTTCCTCATCTGGAAGATGAGAGGGTTGACTTCAAAGTTCCCTCACAGTTCAAAATCTGTAACCTGTATAACTATGGCCAAACCTCAATCCCTCCTGGGAAATCTCAAACCACAGTACGCTTTCCTAAGGTAGAATATATCATATTCCAATTTTTACTATAGTTAAAATCTCTGGGCTCTAGGAATCAGTTTTCTCCATCTAAGGTGCACACTCCATATAGCACTCTGTGCAGCCTGCTAGAGAGAATTGATATTATAACCTAGGGCTTCTCTCAGGACACTGAGATTCGGGTTTTAATTTTTCCTGCAGTCACTAACTCAGTTACCTTGGGTCAAGTCACTTAAACTATTTTGCCCTATAATCTCCCATATATTATTATTTTTGCACCCCACATCTACCTCCACAGTTATTACAATAGTTTATCCAGAGTAGTCACTCAATATTTGGTGAATGGATTAAATGAATGATATCTTTCAAGGTCCTCTTCAGCTCTAAATTTCTGGAAGTTCCAATCCACTAAGAGAAAGATGACTGCTCTGGGGAATGACAAACTTCCTGTTATCACAGACATTGCCCCTTCTAGAAGCTGGCTAAGTACTTTTGAAGGAGATGGCAAAAGATGACAGAGAAACTGGGGAACTCAGCAATGAGGAAAACCACAAAAAGGTAATCGGAGCCCATACATACAGAACTTTCTACCTGTTTTTCCTAACTAAGCTCTGCATTAAGTGGGAGGAAGGTCTTATCAATAGTGTCTTTTTCCCCTGGGGAAAGAGAAAATTCAATTAAAAAAAAAACAATCGAACAAACAAAAAACCAAAAAATACCAAAAAAAGAAAAACCCCCCAAAACTGCAATGTTAGACCTCAGAGGGGACATTAGAGGTCATTTAGTTCTAGTTCTGGGATATTTACTTCAATATAAGCAAACCTGTTACTATATTAAAAACTGTGCCTCCCCTTCCCCTCTTCTCTCTCCTCCTCCTCCCCCTCTTCCTCCTCTTCCTCCACTTCCCACTCTCCTCCGTCTCTCTCTCTCTCTCCCCCTCCCCCTCCCTCACTCTCTCTCTCTCTCTCTCTCTCTGTCTCTTACCCCCCCCCAAAAGCTTACTTCTTTTAAGTGAAGTTCAGGAGTAAAAGAGAGTGGGGGAGGAGATAATCATCCCTCCAGGCTTCTAAGAATGATGAGGTGAACAAGTGACAACTTGCTAACAATGCACAGTGAATTAAACTCCCCCAAATCCCTAGGGAAGTGGTGTATGTTTCTGCGTGCGTGTGGATGCTTATTATTCTCTCTTTTCCCATCTCATTATGGGGGAGGGGGACGGGCCGGCGGGAAACACCTCATTGCAAAAAGTGATTTGCTCATCAGTTTAATAACGCTAAAAGGTCTTTATTCTGGGGCCTCACTTATGAAAAGTACAAACCTTTTCCCAAGCTAGAAGATCATAAAGTCGGAACCCTAAAACTCTCATGGGAGCATATCTGCTTTGGTAGCAGTCTTCCGGAGTTCCTGGCACCAAACAAATCACAGTGAAATCACCAAAAACAACACACACACACACACACACACACACACACACACACACACACACACA